AAATTTTTCAGGCGGAAATTTCCGGAGGTCATGTGATATTCCGTAAATCGACGCCTAATTAAATTTCCTGATGTATTATTTTTTATAATTTCATTATTTGGATTTAAAAAACTTTCACATAATGCTATCGCAAATGCTATTTGTTCTTTAGATATTTTTTCAGCATCTGGGCATGTTTCATAGATGATCTTTTCACACCAGATTTTATTTTTATCCTCTGATATACTTGTGTGCAGCTTTTCGTAACATTCTTTAACTACACATTTTTCCTTTCAGTTTTTAATCTTATTTGATGATGCCTTCATAGTTATTCACAGAAGATTTCGAAATACCGCAAATATTAATTTTTTGATTTACGAAGACATAGTTCTCCTTCTTGACTGATGCCTTTCTATTAACTTTAAATAGTTCAAAATCTTTTGTCAATTATTAGAGCATTTAAATTATAATGTAATTCAATAAAACTTACTTTTTTAAATAGTTAAATTGTAATAAAATGTCCAATGTTTGTCGTTCCAATTTTTGAAAAGTTTTAGATATTTTTGAATAACATAGTTCGTAGCAATTGCTTTCAATACTTTGTCACTTGGATAAATTGTTTCTAAAATTGTCTTGTTTACAATTTTGTTAACAATTTTCTTTTTTTTTTAGAATATTAAGAATATTATAAGCAAAATAGTTTTTTTGTAAAGAAAATAAATAAATTACTTACATTGATGAAAGTTGGATTATATATCTCATCCCATAATTTATTGTTTTCAATTTTTTTTCGGATGTCAACTATTTCCTTTCATAGGTTTCCAACTTCCTTATTAATTTTTTTTTAAATAATTTAGCATTTGATTATCTTTTTCTTTTCTTGTTAATGGTTCTTCTTCTTTTAATAAAATAAATTATAGATCTTCTCTTTCTATTTCTGTTCTTCTTCATTTTCTTACATGCGATGATGGAGATGTTCGTCTTTCATTATCATCTAATATCAACACATCTTCTATTTCAGTCTCTCCTCTTGTTGCTAATATTGATACTACTAATGTTGATTCTGTTGCCAGAGTAAATACTGTTTGTGTCAAAGTCCTTTTTTTTTGCTTTAGTGAAACTTGATTTTCCAAATAAAAGACTAGAAATTCTATCTTTATTTCTTTTTTATTTTTTTTGATAAAAGCTAATTAAAGTTCTTTGTGACATTTCAAAAATTTTTAGATATTCTAGGATTTATTTTATGA